GGCCTCTAGAAGGCACAGGCTAATGTCCGCAGCCTAGTAGCTCAGCCTCCCCTCCCCAGGGCTGGTAAGTAGAAACAGGAATGACCCAAGGGAGGATCTGAGAGGGGAAGAGTGTTAACAAGGGAACTAGATGATGGCTTTCTTTTTTTTTTTTTTTAATTTTTTTTTCAATGTTTATTTTTGGGACAGAGAGAGACAGAACATGAACGGGGGAGGGGCAGAGAGAGAGGGAGACACAGAATCGGAAACAGGCTCCAGGCTCCGAGCCATCAGCCCAGAGCCTGACGCGGGGCTCGAACTCACGGACCGCGAGATCGTGACCTGGCTGAAGTCGGACGCTTAACCGACTGCGCCACCCAGGCGCCCCTAGATGATGTCTTTCAAAAGTCTTACACACCCCTTACCTCCCTCAGAGGGTTCAAACTCAGTTTTAGAAGGGGCACGGAACGAGTTTCTTTGGTGTTCAGCTCCAGCATAAAAGACTTGAGGCAGGTGGGTACGGATACTGACAGAGTAGAGTGGGCTCAGTTCTGGGCCATGGTAAAGTCTTGGATGGTAGAGTTGGATGGTTAATTAAACTTCATTAAGCCCCCTGCTTGAAAGTACATGGAATGTTCTGGAAGGCTCTGGAAGGTTCCAGGTGGTCTGTGCACTCTCTGCTGCCAGACAACTTTTGGAACTTCCTGTTGTGGGGTTCCCGGCACCCAGGGAATGTTCCTGGCTGCTGCACTCCTCTTTGAGAGAGTACGAACTTGAGAATCTAAATCAAGGGGCCCATGAGAAAGGTCTCAGCTATTACAGACCACCAGTGCTTTCACAAACCAAAAAGAAAAAATTGTCCAAAGAACAAAACTTTTATCTCTCTTTGATAAAAACAGTTTCCAGGGGTACCTGGGTGGCTCAGTCGGTTAAGTGTCTGATACTTGACTTTGGCTCAGGTCATGATCTGATGGTTCATGAATTCAAGCCCTGTGCGGAACTTGCTTGGAGTTTTCTCTCTTCTCTCAAAATAAACACACACACACACACACACACACACACACACACACACAACACAAGAGTTCCCACCATTTAAGAAAGCCTGTTATGTGCATACCCTTGTTTGGGAATCACTAGCTTTTGAGTATTTTCCTAAGCTTCCCTCCTTCTCAAATATAAAACATAATACCATTTTTTGAGCCAATCAAGGCTTACTGAACTGAGCAGGCCTGAACCAGAGTGGGCTCAAATCTTTACCACTGAATTGTGGTGTGGTCACTGCAAAGCCACAGCTGAGAACTTGCCCCTGACCTCTAAGTCTAGAGAGAATCAAATGGTTTTTAAGAGACCAAGTTGGACTCGCTGCTGGTTTATCCCAACTTATATACAAGGATTTTATACAAAAGATTGAGTGCGAGTGCAGGAATTGATGTTACTGTACCAAAGGACCTCTGGCTTTGTCTAGGACCTTGGCCATTGCTGTAGACTTCTCAAAAGATCCTTCTTGTCCCACAGTGAAAATAAGGTTTATACTCTGCCTCCCCACTTAAATGTGAGCTCTCAAAACAACATATGATGTAGCCCAGGGATCTGCAAACTCAAATGTCTGCCAGGGCTAGGAAGGTCACAGAGGTGCAAAGCAGTCCATTTCCACAAAGAAATACAGCCTCCCTCATTTTTTTTGGAAATGCATGGTTCTTTTTTTTTTCTCCATCTCGACAGACATGGAATATAGACATTTCTCTATTATGAGCAAAATGTCCAAGTGTGTAGATCAAGGCCTTTTACAATTTCCTGTCTGCTGGTGGGAACACAGTGAAATGGGGGGCTCTGTCCTGTCTCAAAGGCAAATGTTACAGTTTCTCCCACGTGGTGGTACACTCGGGTATGTGTGTGAGGGCAATGGCAGCACGTTTTCTCATTTTTTTGAGACCAGTCAGAATTCTAGATTTTTATACAGTCTCCCAAGATTTGAAAGTTGGCTAAAGTTTTTTTAAGACACTGTGCCAACCACAGCCAAACACTGTGTGCAGGTTGGCTATGTGGCCTGTGACCCACAAATCTCAGCCTCTCCTTGGTCCTCCTGAAACAGGCTTTCTTTTGTTTAGTAGCAGCCCCCTCCCAGGACTGAGGGTGTGAACGCTGAAGGGGCCAAAGCAGGATGGAAAGGCAAACACACCTCAAGTCTGGTTAGAGGACCCCAGGTTTGGACAGGCTTAAGAGATGGTGGTGAGATGGCTAGATCGTGAGTGACGCTATGACCTCATAGCAAATGGCGAAGATGAGTTCTCTGCACCTGCTTCTTGGGCACAACAGCACTGAGTATTCTCAGTATTTGCAAGTTCAGAGGACCAGACTCAGGTCACTCTAATCCTCAGAGGGACCCTCAACTGCTTTGCACAAACCCGATGGCCACCGAGGCCACAAGCTGGGCCTGAGAACCAAGGCACTGAGCACAGGTAAGGCGGGCCTTCTCCTATGATCCTGATCATAGGCAGGTGACAGTGTGTGACCTTGTCACCAGCTGAGGAACTGAGAGGAGGCAAAGACCAGGATAGAGCGCACTTATCTAGTGCACTGAATTCGAGACAGTGGACTGAAGTAACACCACCACTTACCAGCTGTCCTGTTTCAGCCTTTCTTCCTGGGATCTGGTGACCTTCCAGGAAGGTCCGAGATACACACCCCTTCCCCCATCCCCACCGTCATTTGCCCAAAAGGGAGTATGATGGCCGCTCACTTGGGTTCCATCCTTGGCACCTCAGCTGTTGGCTGTAAGGACTATATACTCGTGTATAAAAATGACCAGAGAGGCCACACACCGGCCTAAGGTAGGCTCTTCTTCCTCATCTTGGCTCACGCTGGGATCACTATGGAAGGCAAGGTGTGCCGAGTGAACGAAATGCCAGAACTTCAGAGGGGAAGCAAGGAATCCTGCTCCCTCAGCACTGGGATCTGTAACAGATCATTTCACCCAGCAATAAACAAAATGCGACAAAGGGAAAAGTTTGGCTCAGGAGAAACGAAGTCCTGATCCAGTCCAAAGACGGTACACAACATACAGTTGCCTCCACAACCTGACTCCTGGCTTGTCGGCCGGGTCTCCCCATTTAGGCCTTGTGTGTGCTGCTCACTCAGCCTGATACTGTACTCGCAACCCCATCCCCACCCCAGGGAACACAGCCCCAGGCAGGCTGGGCTGCTCTGGTCCACCTCCCGTCCTAGGTCCAAACCTTCAAGGGAGTTTTGTTTTAGTTTGTGATCAAAAGGAGAAAAGGGACTCAAGTTGAGCGTGTCTGAGCCTTCTTCCATTATTAGGAATTGGGGAGCAGTCCCTAGAAGGCAGGGGATAATGTCCACGGCCTGGTTCAGTCTCTCCTCTCCAGAGCAGGTAAAAAACTGAGAAAAGAACGACCTATGACGATCCTCGGGCGTGGGGGATAGGTGGGAAGGGGTCTGAGGGTCCTTCAAAAATCCTTCTACACATCTCCCCTTCCATAAAGAGCTCAAACTCCATTTTAGGGAGAGTACAGAGTAGGAACTTAAGAGTTCAGCTTGGGGCTAAGAAAAACCTGAGGTAGGCAAGAAGGCACTGTTAAATATAGTGTGAGCCTGGTCCTACGCCTAAGGAGAGGCTTACAGTTGGATGACTAACAAACTTTATTGACTACCCTGCTCAGAGTTGCATGGAATGTTCCAGAAGTTCCACAGGTCTGCCCCTTCCTCCAGTCTTCTGTAACTTTCTATGCTTCTCCATGTTCTGGAGCCCCAGGGAATGTTCACCGAGAGAAAACAAACTTGAGGTCTACGTTAAGGAGCCCATGAGAAAGGGCCCAGCAATTTACAGACCACGAGTGCTTTTATAAACCAACCCAAAAGAACCCCAATCCTTTTTGATAGAAACTTTGATAGAACCTTGCCCCAAATAATGCCAACAGCTTGGCTGAGAATCACTAGTTTCTGTGCATTTTGCTAAGCTTAACACTACTTGTTGTTTGGATTTCGAAAAGAACTTGTTTTCCAAATATGAAACATAATAACATTAAATGTTCTTTTCAAAAGTACATACACCCCCTCCCCCCAAACCAAGGCTAGCTGAGCTCACCAAGCCTGAATCCAAGCAGGCTCAAATCCTTACCACTGAATCGTACAGTCACTGCAGCCCCTGACCTCCAAGGCTGGAGAGAATCAAATGGTTTCCAAGACACCAGTTTGAACTAGCTGTGGGCTTATCCTAATTACAAGGATTTCACATGAAAGACTGAATGCAGGATTTCTTACTCATATACCCAAGCACCTCTGGCTTTGTTTAGAACTTACGCTCACTTCTGTCCTCACCCTTGTGGTAGATCTCTCTTGTAAAGGCTTCCCCAGCTCGCAGCTTTACACTTAGGCCCCATGCATTAATGCTTAAGCACCTAAAATCTTACAGCCAATACATGTACCACGCGCAGGGACTCAGAGTTGACAGCCTGACTTCTACAGCTCTTGCCAAGCGATGACCAACTGCTTAGAAAGAGAGAGAGGAGCGCCTGGGTGGCTCAGTGGGTTAACCGTCCGACTCCTGACTTTGGCTAAGATCATGATTTCACAGTCCTGGGATGGAGCCCCACATTGGGCTCCGGGCTGAACATGGAGCCTGCTTAAGATTTTCTCTCCCTCTCTCTCTGCCCCTCTCCCCGGCTCACACATGTGCTCATAAAATAAATATTAAAAAAAAAAAAAAAAAAAACAAAACAGAGAGAGAGAGAAAGCCTCAGCCAGCTCTGAATAAAGAAATTTGTTTCCACCACAAGCCTCTTGTCCCTTGTACTACCGTATACCCTAAACTCAAGCAGCCAGGTTTCAAGGACTTGGCTTGTGGGGCTAAACAAGAGGACAGGCCACATTCAGGCGACTCAGCGTCCCAGCTGGCCGCTCTATCTCTGGGAGGGGATGGGCTGCACAGTTAGCAATGGGGCTGGCTGGCAAAGGAATGACCAAGAGACAGGCATACTGACTGTCCCAAGGATAAACCTAACTCTATCACATCATGTTTTAATCAATGAGCCCATTAGAACTGTAGATAATAAAGTGTGACAGGCCTCAAGAGAGCAAATGATTTGTTCCTCTGCTGTCATGCCCACAGAGTAATTTCTCCAAGGTCATACACATTAGATAAGTGTGGGCACAGGAACACTCAATTCCTTATGCTCCATGACCTTGCTCTCCCACTCCCACATGCCATCAACAGAAAAGGGAGTGGGGTCTGGGGCTGATCATACAAGAATGGCAAGGTTTCCAAAGATCACAGTCTTACGTCAGGTCTCACCTGTGGCTGGGGAACTCACAGAAAGACAAGGTTCGTACAACCCCACAATTTTTCTTTTGGCAGCCAACAATTGGTCACATTGCACGGTTCAAGGTTACACAGGAGCCCCACGGTACAAGCGCGGGGCAGGAGCAGACAATTGTTGCTCAGAGCTTTACAATAAAGCCCGAGCAAGTGTTCCAGAAGCTGACATCAGGAAGGCAACCTCTGGAAGCAGGCACCCAAGGGACTCCAGAAAACCCTTCACTCTCGGGCTTTTGGGACTCTTCTTCTTGGGGCCTCTTTCTTGGGCATCGAGAAGCCTTCTTTTCTGGACCGCAGGGGAGGGAAGCGTACGTGAACTGCTAACCTGGGCGGGCAGGGAACAGGAGGGGGGAGAGCAGTTTCTCCGGACCCCCGCAGAGGTAGACTATGGAAGGCAAAGGGTTCAAGAACACCGGAAAGGCCATTTTCTCGGGGCTGGCGGGGGGCTGCTCCCTTTCCTCCTCTCTCCTTTTAAAAACGAAAGCCCATGATGATGAAGACCGTGAGGAGAAGGAAGACAAAGGTCGCGTCTCGGGTATCGTCCCAGTGGAAGCCCTTCTTGGCCCGGTCCTCCTGCTGTTTGCGTAGGGCCTCTCGCCGGGCCCTGAGGCGCCGTTCACGCTCCAGCTGTTCTCCGTAGTGAGCTTGGTAGAAGGCGTCAAAGTCGAACATGGTGCGGTTGCCGCCCGCGGTGGCCTGACCGCGGCCGTGGGCCTGAGACGCAGGGGGCGGGGGGCGGGGCGAGCCGGTGTCGCGGACCGGCGCCTTGGGGGGCCGCACGCCAGGTCCGCGCAGGTCCTCGTCGCTGAGCAGGCCGCGGTCATACTTGCGACGCAGGGTGGCACTGCCCAGCACCACGTAGGCCTGGGAGATGCGCGTGAAGCGCTCGGCAGCCTCGGCGCTCCCCGAGTTGCGGTCCGGGTGGTAGAGGAAGCTCTGTCGGTAGTAGGCCGCCTTGATTTGCGCCTGCGTGGCTGTGGTGGGCACGCCGAGCAGTTCATAGAGCGCCGTGCGCGAGTATGGGCCGTCGCCCTGGGAATAAGTCCTCCCTTCTAGGCTCAGGCCGGAACCCGGGCTCTGTGGAGCGCCCCGGGCCAGCCACAACCCCCACAGCAACCGCCGTGGCCACCTCAGATCGCGCTTGGTTGCCATCTTGAACGGGCCATGCGGGCGGTGCGAGACTAACTGGCCAATGGGAAGCGCGCGTTGTTCGCAGCGCGTCGGCCCTCTAGCCAATCGAGTAAAAAGGGAGGCGGGGAGAAAGGTGGAGCATGCGTATTTTTGGGCGGGAGCGGGGCCGAAGACATAAAAGGCGGGTTCCCGGAACACTAGAGTGAGTCTCGCGGCTGAGGCGTGAGGATGGCGTTTCGTGGGAAGAGACCGGAGCACGGCGGGCCCCCGGAGCTGGTGAGGCTTGCGGCTCGCGCGCGTCCTTCTCGCCTCCGTTTAAGGCCCTCGCGTCTTGATTCCTTCTATACTACTCTTCTCTTTTTCTTTCCCGCAGTTTTATGACAAGAATGAAGCCCGGAAATACGTGCGCAAGTAAGGGGAGCCTAGATGTTGCGCGGCGTCGGGGTTCGGGGGCCGGCAAGTTACCCTGATAGCTGGCGCTACTTGGAAAGCACGCAAGAGTTTGGGGTGTTGGGGAAGGAAGGGATCCGGATTGATCCTATTTTTTACGGTGGGAAAGTCAACTTTTGAGTGAATCTCGGAACCCTCTGGGCCTCGGTGAACTTAGCATTAAAATGGAGGTGAATCATGCGTACTTTCTCTAGGGGGTTCTCAAAGTTTCATGTGACAGCTTGTTTGAAGCATGCGGTAAAATCGGCAGGGGCGGTGGATACGTGTAGGGGGGTCAGTGCTGTTGAGGGGGAGGAATTAGTATTCCCAGAATGCTGTGTGCCCCTATTTGCATTATCATTAATGTCTTATGACAAGTGGTGTAGAATCTGAATTTCAGGGGGGGGAGTTAACTTGTGTTAACCATAGAGTCATTTAACAGGTGAAGGCTAGAACAGGGACTTCCAAGCCTGCTCTCTCTGATACCACTACTCTAGAGATAACTGTTCTCCACTTTTCCATTCAAATTAGAGTCCAAGACCAAGGCCAGCAGAAATCTCTGATCCCGTTGTCGTTATGTAGCAACATAAGCTTTTTTCCCAGCTGCAGAATTCAGTGCGATTCTTCCTCTTGATCTTGGGAAAGGCAGAGAACACCAAAGATCCGTTTTGTTAAGAGGCAGTATTCTCTTGAAGTAATGTTTGGTCGGAATGACTTACTGTGAAGAAAATGTTAACATTTTACCTACTGAATGATGATGTGTTGAAATGCTCTTTGGAGCATATCGGGTTAAGATATATTACCAGGATTATTGGGTTGGGTAAACTATTACAGTTAATTTTAGTATTTCATTTTAATCATGGCACTAAGAGAGTCCCACGTGGCTTGCATTATATTTCTCACGGGTAGCAACTGCTATGGATTTTTGTTGTACCTTGTTGAGCTTTATACAGGAGAGTAACTATGGTGGGTAATTTTTCCAGAAAACGTGTTTTTAAGTAATAAACATATCAGAACCACATGGAGTCGAAAATAGGCAATAGTTAGTCATTAGCTAAGCGATTTATTCCCTTCACATCAGTTTTGCAGCTGGCAAAGTTGTAATTTGTGTCGCAAAATAACTTGTTGCTGTATTACATGGACTTTGGGGGTCGCTCTTAAATAGGTGTAGTTGGGTATGGTGACTGGGACGGTACCTCAGGGTGATTGTGCCTTGTTCTCTTTCTCTTCTTTTGCTCTGAGCAATGTTTTAGCCCAGAACTCCTTTATCACTTGTGTTTTCTGCCTTCCCAGCTCACGGATGATTGATGTCCAGACCAAGATGGCTGGGCGCGCATTGGAGCTCCTTTGTCTGCCCGAGGGTCAGCCCTGTTACCTGTTGGATATTGGGTGAGATCCTGGGGCCTAGTTCAGCTTGTCCAGGTGGAGGAGTGTCTTTCCTGCTCACACTGTTGAGTTCCTGTTTTTATTGTGTCTTCCAGATGTGGTTCTGGGCTGAGTGGAGATTATCTCTCGGATGAGGGGCACTATTGGGTGGGCATCGACATCAGCCCTGCCATGCTGGGTAAGTATGTGCTACTTAGCATTGGAGCAGACTACGCTTCATGAGTACGGAGCAGCTACGCGTCGTCTGTTTTCCTGACGTATTATCGTCCAATGTAGATGCGGCCTTGGACCGAGACACTGAGGGAGACTTGCTTCTGGGGGACATGGGCCAGGGCATTCCCTTCAAACCAGGCACCTTTGATGGTTGTATCAGGTAAGAGTCTTCAGTTCCTGCTTTTAGTCCTGCAGGTCAGTGCTTCCTAAACTGGTTGTGCAGAGTTACACAGGAGACTTAGAAATACACATCCCTGGTTAGAGCAGTGTCCCCAATTACGCATTTTTTGTATTTTGAAACTGTCTACTCCTTTGATCATCTTGCGCTGCCAGGTTCAGGTACCACTGGTATAGATTATAGATTCTCTGTGCTTTGTTGGAGGGTGGTGGAGAGGTGGGTTCTTACACCTCTAGGAGCCATCTTGTGGGCCCCAGCAGCCATCTTGTTTCCTTCTTTTTGACTAACTGTAATGGAGAGTGGTCCGGGATTTGCCAGTTTCTTCAGTGGCTTAGTCCTTTTTGGACTTTGTCTGGGTTAAGTTTTGAGCCTTTACGTAGTACTTCGATAACAGATCTTAGAACATTGAAGTGACTGTTAGAAACATGAAGTTGTTCTTTGTGTCCTGTGGTAAATTGTTGATTATTTGGTGTATTCTCTGTTCTCTTTGTTGATGGGGTGGAGGGTAGGGGATAGGGGAAGAAGTCAGCTTTAATCCTGTGATTGTGGGTTGAGCATTACGGATCTGGGTCAGCAGTAAAAATGTAGATTTGAAGATTTTCTTCTAGGGTAAGGGATTAGTTTACATCTGGGAACAAGAGTGGGGGAAATCATTTCAAGGAAAGCAATTGCTTTTTAGTAACGGTTGAGTGAGATTGTTCTAAGCTGCAGCAAACCAAAGGCCGGTGATACGGTCTGTATGTTTTAGGAGTAAGTAGTCACTTTTTATTTGTTTTTGAGAGGAGAGAGAGTATGGCAAACTTATTTTTTTTTTTTTTTTTTACCATTTGTTATATGTGAGACATGGTACAAGGTGCTGCGAGGTTTGTGGAAATACAACACAGTCCTTTCTTTTAATTTAAAAAAAATTTTTTTTAATGTTTATTTATTTTTGAGACAGACAGAGTGCAAGTGGGGGAGGGGCAGAAAGAGAGGGAGACACAGAATCCGAAACAGGCTCCAGGCTCTGAGCTGTCAGCACAGAGCCCGATGCGGGGCTCGAATCCACGAACCGTGAGATCATGACCCGAGCCGAAGTCGGATGCTCAACTGACTGAGCCACCCAGGCACCCCCCTTTCTTTTAATTTTTAACTCTTCGTGGTGTGTCAGGTGCTATAAGACATGGGCCATACAGCTAAACATGAAGTTGAGTGTGGGCTGTGACCAGAGTTGTGGGACCCACCAGAGCGGTGAAAAGCTAGAGAGCACAGGGAAGCCTTGAGGAGGAGGAGGGGCTGGGTTGTGCCTTGAAGGCTCAGAGGAACTTGGATAGTCCTGGGACTGGGGATGGGGCTCTGAGGGAAGGAACAGTGTGAACAAAGGCACAGAAGTGCCCAGGGAAAGGAACCTGATAGATTGTGGGAAAGACCAGAGGTGTTTTTTTAAGTTTGTTTATTGAGAGAGAGAGCATGCATGCAGGTGCATGCAAGGAAAGGAGGGACAGAGGGAGAGAGAGAATCCCACGTAGGCTCCTCCAAGCTGTCAGCACAGAGCCCTACTCGGGCCGATCTCAAGAGTTGGACACTTAACCTACTGAGCCACCCAGGCACCTCAAGAATGAGAGCTTTTTAAATTCCATGCTGAGAAGTTTGAGCTTTATTCAGTAATTGATGGGAAGCTAGGGAGTAACCAGATCAGAGCTGTATTTTGGGAAGATTATTGAGAGGAGAGGAGAGGGGCATCTGGGTGGCTTGGTTGGTTGAGGGGCCGACTCTTGGTTTCGGCTTAGGTCGTGATACCATGGTTGTGGGGCTAACCCCCGTGTCGGGCTCTGTGCTGAGCATTGAGCCTACTTAAGATTCATTCTCTCTCTCTCTCTCTCTCTCTGTTGCTCTCTCTGCCCCTATTCCCCTGCTAGCTTGCATGTGCTCCCCCACTCCTTCAAATTAAAAAAAAAAGGAAAAGAAAGGAGAGATTAGTTAGGTTGTTGAAGCAACCTGGAGGTGGTGATGAGTGCTGACCAGGAGAGTGGTAGAGGAAGGTAAAACCTGGGAGAGGCAGTTGGACAGACAAGTGGGGTTTGGGCTTCCATTCATGTGTGTACACAGCAGTGAAGGGGGAAGCACCCGAGTGGAGTACATAATAGTTGCTTGAGGGTTTTAAATCTGGGGATGGTGAAGACACAGGTACAGTTGAAGGAACCGATTGAAGAGGAGAATAAGTGAATGAGTGCCTTTGTGTACATACTATAAAGGGGTTTTCCCTTGATTAGAGGAAGGGAATGAAGGGGTAGGTGGCAGAGAGCCTTGACACACTGAGTAATTTTAAATTTGAGATGCATGGAGAAACAAGGTTGAGAAAATACTGGTTTAGATTGGCTACAAGGAAGCTGATGCCAACCTTCTCTCTACTTTCCTCCATCCGGTATTCTAGAATGGTGACCTGGAGTGGATCTGCACAGGCCCAGAAAGAGAGTTATAGGCAGGAGGGTTTCACCTGGGGCTCAAGGATTGTGTGTGGTGTTAGAGTCTTGAAGAGGCTGGAGAGAGCAGTGCATGTTGGTACTTGTCCTGACTGGGGTCCTTTCCTTTCTCAGCATTTCTGCTGTCCAGTGGCTCTGTAATGCAAATAAGAAGTCTGACATCCCTGCCAAGCGCCTATACTGCTTTTTTTCTTCTCTTTACTCTGTGCTGGTGAGTATGAGATCGTCTCCCAATCTGGGCTGGCCGCTTCTCCCTTCTACAGGCAGTAACGGAGTAGGAAGTTTCCCAGGGGAAAGGCATTCAAATGGTACTGCATGGGGTGGCAGGACCTTATCATGGTTCTCCTGTCTTGGCCTAAAGAGAGAGCTTGGTGGTCTGACACTCCCTAATGAAATGGCAGAAGATGGTGGTGTCTGAGACTGATCACAGTTCCTGTGTCTGGCTGCACTAAATTTTTTTTTTTTAATTTTTTTTATTTTTTTATTTTATTTTTTAATTTTGTTTTTTTTTCAACGTTTATTTATTTTTGGGACAGAGAGAGACAGAGCATGAACGGGGGAGGGGCAGAGAGAGAGGGAGACACAGAATCGGAAACAGGCTCCAGGCTCTGAGCCATCAGCCCAGAGCCTGACGCGGGGCTCGAACTTCACGGACTGCGAGATCGTGACCTGGCTGAAGTCGGACGCTTAACCGACTGCGCCACCCAGGCGCCCCAGGCTGCACTAAATTTTAATCGGAAGTTGGTGTGGGGGCACGGACTCCACGGAGTGAGGACAGAGACCTCATGTCCAGCGCATGCAGAGTGCTTACATCCTGTGACTCCCACCCTCCCTCTCCCCTACTGCTGATGCTCAGATGGGGTGCAGGAGGGTTATTTATCACAGACAGAGCCTTCAATAGCTTTTTATTTTTGTAACTGATGGTGTTGATTTCAGTTGTTTAATAGGATCAATTGATAGTTTGAGATTTTAAGTCCTAAAAATGAGTTCTTTTCCTTTTTGGAACAGGCCAGGTATATCTGGGTTCTTCTTAATCACCTCGCTTCATCCCTGGTTTTCCTAGAATGGGTTGTTTCTTGTGGATGGCTGGCTGTCCTTGTGTGTTATGTGGTTTCTGTTGCACACACACACACTGGGGTTAATCTGAGGTTCTAACGGCCTTTGTGTTTGCCTTTCTGTGGAAATGGTTTTCCCTTCTATGTTCAGCCAGCTCCCTGTTACAGTCAGGATTCTGCCCAAGTGTTCCTCAGAGAGAGACCTTCCTTGAGCCAAAAGTAAACCCAATAGTCTCCTGTCACTTACCATTCCTTTGTCCTGATTTGGTTTTCTTCTTGGCACTAAGTCACCACCATGTATTAGCTGCCTTTCTCACTGCAACGGGCCTTCAAGAGTTCAGGCGCTCTCTTTGTTCACGGCTACATCCCCAGCCCTGAGAACAGGGTCACGTGCACGGTGGGATTTCAGATATTTAGTGAACGAGGAAGAGAGAAGTGTTGGGCCCCGAGCCCATGGTATGTTTGTAGGAGAGTGATGTTTCTGTTGCTTATAGGTCCGTGGAGCCCGGGCTGTCCTGCAGCTGTATCCTGAGAACTCTGAGCAGGTGAGCGCCTTGGCTACTGGAGGTGCAGGGGAGGGGGAGAGACCCAGAACAGGTAAGCTGTCCTGTGCCTCCCTCACCTGCCCTCTTGCTGTTGGGAGGTGATGAAACAAGGAAATTGTTGCTGACTGGTGGGAAAAGTAGGGAGTGAGTACCTGAGGGAGAGGTTTCTGCGGGGTAGGATAGGACCTGTGTGTTCTCTCGGCCGATCTGTGGTATTACAATTATGAGGATGTGTCTGATTTCTGTAACCAAATGAATGGCAGTGGGGGGAGGATTTGATAGGATGGCAACAGCTGTCTTTTCTGTGGCGGGTCACGCCATAGATGAGGAGATATAGGTGCAGACCCTGATAGACCAGTGGTGAGCTGTCCCCGGCCCCTAACTTGAAGGAGTTTGTTTCCTGAATGGTGGCCTTTCATTCCTGAGATGGGAGCAGGGAGACGGGTCCCTGGGCTAGAAAAGCGAGAACCAGGGCAGTTGCTGTTCCAGCCTGCACTTTCCTGTGTATACGCCTTTTGGGGACTCAGAATTGGGAAGTTTGATGAAGACCTTCAGCTCTCCTGGGTAGGGTCCACCCTGGGGGGCAGACCGACTTCTCGAAAGGAGTGGAGCGGAAGCTGTCTGCTCCCCCAGTCTCCCTGCCTGACTCGCTGCCGTTTTCTTCTCAGTTGGAGCTGATCACGATCCAGGCCACCAAGGCTGGCTTCACTGGTGGCGTGGTGGTGGATTTCCCCAACAGCGCCAAGGCAAAGAAGTGAGTGCTGGGGGCTAGTGTATTGTCCGCGTTGAGCGGAGAGGGTGTTGGGGTGATGAGTGGGCCAGAGGAGTGCTCGGCTGGGTCACCGGGGCTTACACATTCTGCACCTGTTCCTGGGAAGGAGTGTGGAGACTTGTAACTGTGCGTGGCTTTATGAGCCCAGCCCTCACTCTGTACTTTTCTGGTTTCAGGTTCTACCTCTGTTTGTTTTCTGGGCCTTCGACCTTTCTGCCAAAGGTGAGGGATCCAGAGTTTGCAGGCTTGTGTCCTTTAGATTCCCTTCTTGTGGGGCTGGGCCTGGTACCTGTTGGAAGGACTCAGGCCTGGGTGGCCTGACCTTCTGGGTTGGGGCAGGTGGGTTGAGAGATCTCCAGGTTGATCTAAGAGCACGCTGGTCCCCGCAGGCCCTGACCGAAACTACTGATGAAGAGGAGGCCACGGAGTCTGCGTTCACGAGTGAGAGGTAAGCAGTTGTCACCCCTGCCTGGAGTGCGGGGGCTTGCTTCTGCCGGGGTCGTCCTACATGGCTCTCTGCTTGCACCAGGTCTCTTAGGTTCAAGTGTGGCAGTGACACCAGGGTGGTAACAGTGGGGAACCCTGTGGGCCTGTGCCCGCTCCTGCCTCAGGCTGGGCAGCAGGGGCCCTTCTGGATGTCTGTGGACAGCCACGCAACCATCTTTCATTCCTCTCTCTGCCTTCCCTATTGCCAGGACTGCCGGGTTGTCTCCTCCCTCCCCGAGGCTGCCTCCGCCACCTGCATCCTGGCCTCTGTCTCCTCTTGGCTCTCCCTCCCTGCTCCTGTGTCCTCATGTTTACTCTCCTGGGTCATTCCCTCAGTTTGCAGAGACCCTGTTTCTTCTGTCTTCTCCCTAAGCGCCTTAACTCCCCCCGCTGCGCCCCCTCGTGCATGGGCTTCCCTCTGGGTCACATCTCACGTGTGCCGGTTTGCTCCACCACACCATTCTCTCACTCCTCTCTGCTCCCACCTCCGTCTCCTCATGGATTGCTTTTCTCCAGGCCACGCCAGCCTCTGTCTTGCCAAATCTGTGGCTGCTTCTCAGTCCGCTTTCTCTCTTCTCTTAACCTGCCTGTTCCTCGGGCACTGACGACAGCCAACCACTCCCTCGATGCTTTTCCCAGTTCGGCCTCCTGCCTGCCATCCTGGTTTTGTCCTCAGCTTGCTGGCTGTTCTTTCTCCGAGCACTCTGGGGCCCAGCCCGGACCCTTTCTCTCTCTGCTGCCTTAATCACCAACTCCAGGTTTGTTGCTTTGGGTTTATGCCTATGGTCTCAACCTCCCCTCCATTTTCCTAACTGCCTCCTAAGTATCCATACCTAGGCTTCCCACAAGTATTGGGAACAAAACCCAGCTCTTGTTTTTCACACCAAGACTGCCTTCCTCTGTCCTTCCCCACACAGTCATTCTTGTCTTTCTTACCTCACATCTGGCCAGTCCTCTGTGTCTGTCCGGGTGACAGCCAGTCCCCTCCCCTGGTCTGAACCCCCACCGACCTTGCCTGGAGTGTGGAAGTTGCGGCACTGGCCTCCTTCCACTTTGCCTCTTTGAACTGATTTTCTGCACAGCAGCAAGGTGAATTCTTTCTTTTTCCTTTAATTTTTGAGAACGGGAAATCACACGTTGCCATTTATCTGTTCCAGTATCCTTGGTGAGTTCTCCTTACCCTTTATTTTCCTTACCACCTTTCACTGTTCTGAATCCTGTGTGTTTGTTTGTTTGCTTGCTGGCTCCCCAGCCAGAAGGAGGACTTGGGCTCTGGTGGTGTGTCCCTGATCCCAGAGTAGGGTCTTATTGTTAGTGAAAGGTTTCCGGTGTTTGCTGACTGGATAATTGATGGTAAGGCAGTGAAGGAGGTTATTTCTTAGTTCTGGTTGATGTGAGTGAGAAGCCTGAAGACTTTTAAGACGTTTAAGGGGAAAAATGCGCAGAGAATAGGTCAGGAAGGCCACGGGTGGTGAAGATCACAAGTGTGTTCCTTGTGTCCACTACAGAGCGGAGCCCCCTGACCTCCCCACGGTCATCTCTGTTAGCTTCCTCAGCCCGTGTTCCCCGTGGGGATTTGCGGGCCGGTGGGAGGGGCGGGGTGGGGGGGCTCTCCTAGATGTTTTCTGCTCTAAGGCGCCCACCACTTGCTCCCAGCGAGTGGCGCCCTCTCCCACCTCACAGAGGATGTGCACGTGGTTCAGCCCCCTCCACCCACCATAGAATCCTTCTTGTCCTCACACTGGGGTCTACAGACGACATGTGCTAACTGTAAGCTTAGGTAAGCGTCCATTTCTCGGCTGTTCAGCGAGGGGATAATGCCAGCACCCGGGCAGCGTGTGGAGGAGCAGAACGCGTGTGTGTGGGCAGACCTGGCACAGTGCCCGGCACGGGCCTGTCTCCCTGGCTCTGTGGGCACTCGCTCTGTGGGTCCTCGGCTTGGGGGGTGGGGGGGCAGGGGGCTGTGGTTCTTTGGGAGGATGATCTGGCTTTCTCGTGTTCTTGTCCTTTTGTCTAATCATTCTTGTCAGTCTCTCTGACTCTCTCTGATGACTCAGTCCACCTGTGGCATTTGCCACTACTGCCCAACTTCCTTCTTGGCACCTCTGGTCTGGGGTCCTCGCTCACTGCCCCCCCCCTGCTGCTCTTATCTGCCCCCATGACTCTTTCCCATCATTACTTCTATGGCTCCCAGCTTGCCACCCAGCTTGTCCTTCCTTACAGACCCTTGATCATTAGTCCTGTACTTCCAGCCCCCTGTTGGCAGCTGCCTCCTGCTTTGCACTTGGTGCCTCAGACTCCTGCCCCCTGGTTGTGGGCATTCTTAATGTTTCTTTCATGCACCACTGCCTGTATGTGCTGAAGTGTCTAGATCACATTGTCTCACTTCTTTGTTGTGAAACCTCATTGGCCGCCCACTGCTTACTGAAGGGAGAGCACACTCCTTGCCTGTATTCACACCTCCGTGAACTGGCCCAGCCAAGTGAGATTCTGAGATTTTTTTCTTTTTAAAATTTTTTCATGTGTTTTTACTCAGTTTTGAGAGAAAGCATGAACAGTGGAGGGGCACAGAGAGAGGGGGACAAAGGATCCAAAGTAGGCTCTGCACTGACAGCAGCCAGCCTAATGTGGGGCTCAAACTCACAAACCGCAAGATGATGCCCTGAGCTGAAGTCAGACACTGAAGCGACTGAGCCACCCAGGCGCCCTTACCTTTCTATTTTAGAGGAAGGGAGAGAGCGTGTGAGCAGGGGAGAGGGGCAGAGGGGAGAGAGAGATTCTTAAGCAGGATTCATGCTGAGTTCAGAGCCTGACACGGAGCTTGATCCCACGAACCACGAGATCATGACTTGAACCAAAATCAAGTCAGATGCTCAACTGACCGAACCCCTGGGTTTTTTTTCGTTTTTAATGATTCTGACTTTTATTCTTCGGTCAGAACAGATGAGAAGTAGCTGCAAACATGGTCTGTGCTGGAATCCGGCCTGCACTGGCCCTCATGCAAGGAGGGAACTTGTGCTTTGGACCCTCAGGATCTCACTTGGACCCCTCCCCTTCTCTCGCCTGGCACACGGGACTCTTGTTCCCTAACTCTCCCTCGGTCCTTTCAGTGCCGCACCCTTGCGTGGTTCTTCTGGTCTTGCTGCCACCCCACCTTCGGCCTGCAGAAATGCCCGCTTACCTCAGCAGCCTTCTTGGTTTTCGCAGACTCTGCTTTTCCTTTCCGTGTCATTCCCTCAGTAGCTGCTGGGTCTCTGCACTCGCTTTGCCTGGTGTGGCTGGTCCCTGCCCTGGCCCAGTCGTGGGCTCTTCAAGGGCAAGCCTGGTTCATATCTGCCGTAGGACATCCATGGGTCCGGCGCTCAGGTGCTCAGGAAATGGTTGTTACTCAAATGGCGAGCGGCCCTCCGTGGCAGGAATTATGGTGGAAATCGTTTGAGCCCAGCTGCCAGGTGGGGATGTGGTTTAGGGACAAAAGGTTTCTCCCTGTTCCCAGGGCCTCTCTCCCATGGGGCTGTGAGGGGTCCCTTTTCTCCTCAGCCAGGGCTGGAGGCCAACATCAGTGCTTGAGGATCCTTGTCGCGGCTGCCGTGAGCTGACAGCCTTGTTTTCCTGCCTCAGACATCTGTCGTTGCTGGGAACCCCCACTTGGTCTATGCCAGGCACGCCGACCCCGCAGCCGGACTAGGGTCCGAAGTCGGCAGCACTGGGCATCGGGCCTCTGGCTGTCCTTGGCAGTGCCAGGCTCTCAAGGGCTGACCCCGGCCCATGTTGCCCTAAAAGTAGCTCGGCCCCCTGCCTGCCTGACAGGCAGCACCTAACAAGGGAACACACCTAAACAGGTGGTCACTGCCACAAAGATGCCCGTGAGGGAGTGGGGCCTCTCACCTCCCGCTCTTCTACCAGACAACTGCTTTGGCCCCAGGGGATCTCACTGGGGGAGGAGAGGTGTCCAGAAGCAGGGACTTCTGTGGCAGGGGCATCGGAGGCCGCCTGCCTCGGGGAGGACCACTATTTTTTCCTGCGTGGACTAGCTTGAGTGCCACGTGGGTTCCACCCGTTTCCCGCATAGGATCCAGCGCAGGATGGCAAGGCGCGGGGTGGTGAGGAAGAGCCGTGAGTGGGTGCTAGAGAAGAAGGAGCGCCGCAGGCGGCAGGGCAAGTGAGTACCTGGGCTGGGGACAGGCTGGGGATGGGGGGAGGGCGTGGTCTGTGGCCACCAAGGGATCGCCTGCACTTGAAAGCTACACTTGAAAGCGTCCCTGAGGTAGGTCCTTTGTTCTTTTTTCTGAGACCGCCCCCTTGTCTCCTTGCCACAGGGAGGTCAGACCCGACACCCAGTACACCGGCCGCAAGCGCAAGCCCCGCTTCTAAGCCGTTCGCTCCACGTAACCGGGCAGCTTGGGTCTGCACAGTTGCAAGCGGGCAGTTTTCTCTGTCGAAGTGCCTACTTGCATCCGCTGACAAAACATTGTTTTAGAAATGTTTTCAAGTTCTAACCGTTTTTCTTTACTAACAAAAGTTCTAAAAGCATCTTATTTTGTTCTAAAAGCAATAAACCACTTTCTGTGGAACTGTGGCTCTGGCATTTTCTAGCTCTGGGATCCTGAACAAATCTCGAGTTTCTCCAAGTACTTGATTCCCCTGATCCAAAAGAGGCTCGAAGAATTTGTTGAGTGTATGAAAAGCACCCTATTTTAACCTACAAGGAACACAGGTAGATCGAATTTTGGTCTGTTTATTCCAGCACTAGGCAAATTTGGGAAAAATGGGTGGGGTCAAAGTATCCGGGGGACCCACTGTTCTGAGGCCACCGCCCAGCCTCTGGTTGTCCCCCAGTCTGAAGGCGGCATCCAGCCAGGGCCTGGGCTGACCTTTGGCCCTGAGCTACACCAACTGCTGATTGGCCCGCACTTGGTTGCCTTTGGGTGTGTCTCCTGTCCGATTACTAGTGGTCAGGAGAGCAGGCAAGCCTGCCCTGGGGTGCGGGGGAGAGGGGGACTGTAGCAGCAGGCTAAGCAAGTGGGGATCTAGGTCTCATTTGTGGCTACTGGGAAAGCGGAAGGAGGGGTAGATTTGAGCCCTCAGCACGGAAGGGGCGGGGCATCAGGCTTTAAGCAGGAGTAGAAACGTTCAGACTGGGGTGGCGGGGCCAGAGGATCTGGAGGTTGAAGGCCGAGGTGGGAGGCGGGATCCTCTGCCTCTGAACCCCTTCTTCCAGTTAGTGCTGGGCACATTTACCCCCAAGTTCTAAGGCTGTGACCTCATGACAGTAAGAAACCTAGGGCAGAGACACGGTACAGATACAAATGTTTATTCTACATAAAAATTTCACAAAAGGGGCAGCTGGTTGTACCAAGACCTTTGGTGAAGGGGTGGAGGAAGGGAAGTTGCTGTTAAAGAAGGCAGTACGGACAGTGGTCACAGTCACTGGGCAGGAGCAGAGCTGAGGGAAGGCGGGGCACGGATGCGGCCCCATCCCCTACTGCATGCACTCGCATGCACACTCCCTGCCTGTCAACGAGGAAGAGGGGGGCTTGGGTGGGGGCACGTTTCTGACTTGAGAAGCCCCGAGATGGGGAGGAGGGAGGTACTCCTCCCTGGCTGGCTGCTGAATACTGCATCCTAGACAGCAGACACCCACGTGGCACATCACTGGGGAACAGCAAGGGCAGGACGCGATTGCAGGCCTGAAGGGACACCTGACTTCCCAGAGCACGAGAGAGCAGGAACCACTGTCCCAAACATGCAACACAATGGCTTGAGGACCTGGCTGAGGCCTGCCGGGGAGAGTGGCTGGCCCAGGGTGCAGGCTTCGGCTTATGGCAGAGAACTGACGGGCCCGATCTGCCTCCCTGGCCAGAAGGGTGGCTGGAAACCAGGCATCGGACAGTCTCTTGTGGAGTGTTACCTGGGGTCAGGCACAGCCCAAAGGGGTCGCTCCTGGGGTTGCAGGATTGCGGGAAGGGAGGATGAGGCAGCCAAGACCCTCTGGACTCTGCCCCTAGGCAGGGGAGGGAGCCTGGTCTCGACACAGCCAGAAGCCACCTGGCCACAGCACCCTGAGCCTCCCTGGCAGTGATCAGCTGTTAGAGGCTCAGAGCTGGGCTGTCTCTCAGGGCCACTCCTCCCCTAACCTGAAAAGCAGCACCATGTGGCCAGCTGGTCCCCACCCCTCAGGGGGCTCGGCTTAGGGGGACAGCTGGAGAGGACAGAGGTCAGGGCAGATGGGCCAGTCAGGAGGAGGCAAGGTTGGGGTCCAGAGCGAGCCTCGGTCCCAGGAGAGGGCAGACCCCAGGCTGGAGTGGAATTCGTGAAGGCAGGGGAAGGGGGAGGGGGGAATATGGCTACCCTGGGTGGCACTACCTGGGAAGGGTGAGGCGGCCTGGGCCAGGGCCTGAGTCTGTGCCTTGCTGACCTGCCCCACCCCACTGGCTGTTTCCCAGCCCGGCTCCTCGCTGGCTCCCCATACAGACACACACACGGTCACAGAGATCATGCACACGACGGCTCGGGGTGGGGACGGAGGGCCCTGCGGCAGAGAAAGGAGCAGTACGGGGCGGGGAGGAAGGGGCTCCGAGCCAGAAGGCAGCAGCAGCCAAGGGGCCTCCTGAGGGCAGACCATCCCGAGCGGGGTGGCGGGTGGGGTGGTTTCTATCCGAAGATGCCTCCGAAGGTGGAGGCGATGACGATGCCCAGGACCACGCAGCAGATGATGATCATGATCTTCTTCTGCACCGGAGAGGCACAAAGGAGCAGCCTCAGACGGGGGAGGGAGGCCAAGGGCTTGGGTCAGAGCTCTGAGGGGGGTGGCGATGAGGGCTGGGGAAGGTGCAGCCCAGAGGCGGTGACACCAAGAGCTGAAGGCCTCAGGATGGGGGCTCTGCTCAGCTCCGAGGTGGGGGCAAGCGGTCAAGGCAGAGTGGGCAAGGATCTATGGTGGTCCCGGGGCCCTCATGGGAGGGGGCGGGGAGGCTACTGACCCGGCGTGCTTTGCTCTGGTACTTGACGGCCTTCTTGGTGTCAGACACCGCTCTCTCCACGTAGTCCACCGAATGTTCCACGTTGTACTCAATCCTGTCAATCATCTCCCCCTGCAGGGCCAGGGCACTCACGCTCCAGCAGGGCCCCCCTCAGGGCAGGACTTTGGGGCGGCACCCTGAAGTCAGAGAAAGGAAAGTGGGGGTGTGAGGATGGGGTACAGCCTCTCACCTGTGCCCCTCAGGCCAGGCACCCCGGGGCAGCACCCTCCTCTCCCTGCAGAGCAGTCATCCTGGGGGAGGGAACTGGCCATGCGGTCTCAGCCAAGGGCATGGGGGCCATGCAGAGGGTGCCGAGCTGGGGCCTGGAGCGCGGCAGAGGGAGGCCGGGACGGGAGCAGGCGGTCTGGACGGTGTCCCACTCCGTCCTCCGCAGGCACAGTGGTTCTATCCAGCTCTGTCTTCAGTCCTCAACATTCAAGACTCCTTGCCCCCTCCTATAGCCCTTCTGGGCCCCGTAATCCGGTCCCACGCAGCCCCCTGGAGACCACAGCGCTGCCTGAGACCCCCAGCAGCAGCTTTGTGACACACGACTGCTCTCTCCGAGTCTGCTGCTCCCACTGGCGTCCATACAGCTACGGTCTCTCAGCCACCGGTGGCAGCAGCCTCCTCGTGGCCTCCCTGCTTCCTAACTCTGCCCACACCACGCCCACACTGAAGACCCTCCATCTAGAAGAGAATCCAGGCGTCCAGCACCACCTTCTGCCTCCTCCCTGCCGCCCCTGAGCTCCAACTGCACGGCCTCCTCCTCCGAGAGCCCGGCTCTTGCCAGTCTCAGGACAGTTCTGCTGCTGGTCCCTCTGCCTGGGCCAGCTCTTCACTGTGACCCCGGGAAGTCTTCAGAGCTCAAAGTGGCCACCTCAGGGACTCTATTACCGTTACCCCACGCGTGGCCCTCAGACTGGCAGCATCGGCATCGCCCTTGAAACTGTTAGAAATGCAAATTCCGGGGCACCTGGGTGGCTCAGTTGTTAGAGCGGCCGACCCTTGATTTCGGCTCGGGTCACGATCTCCCAGTGAGATCGAGCCCCATGTCGGGCTCTGTGCCGACAGCATGGAGCCTGCTCGAGATTCTCTCTTTCCCTCTCAAAATTAACTTGAAAAAAAAAGCAAACTTACAGGCTCCCACCTTGACCTACCAATCTCTGGGAACAGGAACCAGGAAACTTACAAGCCCTCCAAGTGATTCTCGGGCACTTTCAAGTTGGAGAATCACCGCTCATTCACACTGCCTCCTAACATCTGAGCACCTGGCACAACTGGAGAACATTCCATCTGTCATATACTTATGCTGCCCTTTCACCCAACAGACATTAGCTCCGGGAAGCAGGCCCTCAGCTGTCCTGGTCACTGCTATACTTCCAGTTCCTTGAAAAGTGGGCGTCCGCTGTGCCCATGTGACAAACAGCTGATGAATATGATGGGACAAGGCTGGGTAGAGGGCCATGCAGGGCCTGGGGTCCTGGAGGGCCAAGCAGAGCCATGCAGCGCTGGGTCCCGGTAGCAGAGCCATGCAGAGGACAGGGTCCTTTAGGTGGGCACGGCCCTGGAGGCAGTTTCAACAGCAGGCGGTTAGTTACCTGGAGACTCGGTCCCTCCCGGGCAGGGCAGCGTGTCAGGCAGAAAGGGTCGGGGTTAGTGCAGCCCTGGGTGCTGCTGTGGGCTGGGGGGCGGAGGGCAGTGGGGCCCTTGGTACTCACCTGGCTCTCCACAAGCATGGCCATGTCCATGAACATGTCGTGCAGCTCACGGATGCTGTTCTCCAGCTTGATGATCTCACTGTGCCGCGTCTCAATCTCGCTCAGAGCCTGCTTTGAGATGCTGGAGTCCATGATGATCTAGGGGGTGGGAGCAGTGGGCTGGGACCCAGGGGCCTGCTGAAGGGGGCAGGGATGGGGACCGGGGCCAGGACAGCAGGCCAAGGGCAAAGGCAGCTGGGATGGGCAGTGGCTCCCTCCTCAGCCACAGCATTCTCCCACTTCCTGCTTGGTTCTTACTAGCTGTTACCTGACTTCTCTGAGATGGATTTCTCCTCCTTAATACGGGGCTAATAACACTCCCTGCCTGTGCCTGCCACACGGTAACTAAGTGGTAGTTCTTGTCACCAGTCTTGTACAGCCCAAGTTGACTGTCCCAAGGACCCAGGCCTTGAACTGCTTTTCTCTCTTCCCCTCTCCTTCTGTTCTGCCTCCCAGAGAGGGTAACTGCCTCTCCCTTCTCTCCTCCTGGAACCCACGTCCCCAAGCCGCCTTCCACCCCGTGGGCCACCTCCTTCAGAAAGCCCCCCTGCTCAAGCTTCACCTGAATGGAGAGACGGCCAAGGGCACCGTGTTCCCCAGGAAAGGAAAAAGGCCCAGAGGATAGTGGAAGGCACCCCTAGCTGGCAAATGGACAGGAGAAGCACGGAAGTGGACCTAACTGGGAGGACCCGGGAGACGTGGGTCTTAATTCTACCTCCGCCACTAACATTTATGTGGCCTCAGCCTGGTCCCTTTTTCTCTCTGGGACTCCGCCTTCTCTGAGGCTCAAAAGGTGGCTGTGTCCAAATACTGCCCTGTCCCAGCACACCTGGGGGCCCGGTGGGAGGGGTGTGGTGCCCACTCACCCCGGAGGCAAAGATGGCCGGGTTTCCGCTCTCCAGCATGTCCTCCAGCTCCTCACTGGTCGTGGTCCGGCCAGCTGCGAGGAGGGGTCACACGGAGTCCTGCACACCACGCAGATGGGCGGCGGCCCTGGCCCCGGCACCGGCCCCGCCCCCAAGCCCCGGCCCCGCCCCGCCAGCTCACTGATCTCCAGCTGCCTCTGGATGCGGCCCTTGCAGCGCTCGCGGTAGTCGGACTGCGTGGCGTTGTACTCGGACATGACCTCCACGAACTTGCGGGACAGCGTGGAGTGCTGGGGATCCGAGGTGGGGGTGCAGGTGTCAGGCCCGGCCCCACCCAACACCAGAGCCTCAAGCGCCCGCCTGCCCACCCTGAGGCCTGCCTGCCGCACCTGTGTCTTTCGGATCCTCAGGTCTGCGGATGAGCGGTTGAGGCCTTCCTCCTGCTCGATGCTCTGCTCAATGCCTGGGGGAACGAATGGCTGCTGAGCCATAGCCTGTCTCCCTCGCCACTGCCCATCCCCCTGACCCACATGCCCAGGATCTGGCTCAGGACCTCCTCCCCTAGAGAGGATCTCCTGTGGTCTGTAAGTGGGGTCACATGGGAAGCAGAGGAGGAGGGAGCGCGGGACTGATGGGGTTGGGGGGTAAAAAGGGCCCATTCGCATGATGCACACTTCGGTGTGTGCATACATGCAGCCCATTTGTGAGGCCTCAAGTGCACGCCACGCTATGGGTGTGAATGCCCACTATGCGCTAGGCCTGGTGGCTCAGGCCCACCCTGCCTCCTGTGCACCCAACAAGGGGCCATGCCCAGAGTGGGGAGGGCCTGGTGGCCACAACCTGCAGAGCACACGGCCCCCAGTCCTGTCCATTTGTGGGGTGGGTACATCTGTGGCGCTGGCCACTCCCTGAACCCTCTTTAGCTGCAGTGGGGCACAATGCTCAGAGGGGAGCACTCCCTCAGTGAAGCCTCAGGCCCCTGCGTCCCCAGGCCCAGCCCAGAGCCTGGCACAAACAAGCCTTGCCAGGCAGCAATTGAGGGAATGGGCGCATGATGGCACCCTCATAAAGGAAAGCAAGACCCAATGTACCCTTCAGAGTTAGCGAACCCCCACGGCTACACACAGGAAGCGGGTCCAGAGGGCCCCTCCACCTCCCAGGCAAGGCCCGGAGCCCAGACTCACTCTTTAACTTGGAGCGAACTTTGTTTGCTGTCTTCTTGATGTCAGACATGAGCTCCTCCAGTTCCTCCTTCGTTTCTGGGGAGGCAGAAGGGGTACAGGGTAGACACCTGGGGTTCCCCTGCTGCCTGCCGTTCAGGCGCAGCCTCTGGCCCAGGGGGCCCGGGGGGGGGGGGGCGCTCTGGGCAGAGCCTGGGTCCTGGGTCTTCCCCCTTCCCCCGGCTAAGGCTCTGCCTGCCCCTCCGATCCTGGGCGGGGGCCACACCAGCTATCGCCTAGCTCCCTCTGTGCTGCCTTCCGAGGAGCCTCCCTTCCTCCTTTGCTGGCTCTCCCACCCCCTGCAGATAACAGATGGGTCTAAATTTAAGGCAGAAATAATTGTGGAGCAGCTGGCAATGCTGGAGTTGGCGCTGGGGGACATTTACTTGATGCCTGCCTGAGTCGAAGGTGGGGGGAGCGGGCTCACCTAGCGCTACCTGGTAGCTCTGGCGCAGGGGGGAAGCATCCAGCCAAGGGGGTGACAGAGCCAGGGGCCAGAGAGGCCGAAGCAAGCAGCTTGGGTGGGGTAGACCTTGTTCTGCTAGAGTCCCCCCTTCCCAGGTGCTGAGCCGGGCGGGTAGACGGGGGCGTGAGGCACCTGGCCTGGATGGGAGCTGGCGGAGAAGCGCCTCAAAGAGGTGGGCCTCGGCCCACAGTTGGCCGTGAAGCAGCAGGTGGCTGGGCCTAAGAGGGGGAAGTTGGGGGAAGGCCGTGACCTAGTGTTTCTCGGGCCCTTGTTCCAACTGGAACCATCTCTCTAAAGCTGGTAGAGGCCATAGGGGTACTCAGCTTGCTCAACCCCCAGCGAAGGGCTGGCTGGCCAAGGGAGGCCAGGGGGCTGCTCTCCCGTGGGGTGATGCAGCAACGGCTCCGGACAGCGCCCCAGCCTCAGGGCGACCCCCGGGCTCTACTTCCTGGAGAAACCAGGACTGAGCTCCTGGCCGAGCCTTCTTATCCACCGTCTGTTTTCCTCTGGGGCTGGGGCCTCTCCTGTAAGGGGTTGGGAGGGGCTTATAGCGAGCGGTTGATGGGGGGGTGCCTACCAAGTGGATCATGAGGTGGGGGGCTTCGAGGAGCGGAGGAGGGCGCCTCGATCGTTCAAACAAAGGAAACTTAGTTACCAGCTGCTCTGACGTCTCAGCCGCTTTTGCTCAGACCCAAAATAGCCCGGCCCGGATGGCCGCGCCCAGGGGAGACCGAGCAAGCCTCGGCCTGGGCAAGCCCCCCGCTCACTGCCATCTTTCCCAGTCACTCCTTGTTAACGGCGCCCTTTGCCCTAGAAGGAGTCCCCTCCCCATGAGGAATGGCCCGTGAGCCCACATCAGTGACCGCTGGCTGGTCCTGACTGCTCAGCTCACGGTGGCAATTCCTAGCGGGTTGCTACCGACTGTAGGACTCGGGGAGACCTTGTGTGGAAGGTGGCACAGGGGAGCCAAGAGAAACGGACTGGCATCTCCGTTGCCCCACACTCTCCCCGTCTTCTAGCGGGTGACAGGCCAATGCCCCAGCTCTTTCAAGTACTCTGTTCTCACAGGCAGCCCCCTCTCTCATCAGGAGGGGCCCACACGGGGGCACACACGGACTCAGACACACATGCGCACTAAAACCCACCATGTCACAGCTGCCTTCCCGGACAAACTGCTGGGGAGAGGGCCAATGCATGACGGCCACACCGAATGTGTGCCCTGCCCCGGGTGACCCCTCTCTCCTTCCCACCCATTCCCAGCACAGTCTCCTGGCTCCCAGCGGACTCATTTTGCTTCCCAAGGGCCTGGCACTGGTCTCACGTTCAAGCACTCTTTGGGGCTGTGGAGAGATGTCTTCTGGGCGCTTGAGGACACCAGTGGAACCAGGGCTGAGGGCCTATGGATGGAGACGCACTGCCGTCGAGGACACAGAAACCCAGCCCTGAGCACTTCGCCTGGCCCACCCAGGGATGGGAGCCTCCCCTTTGCATTCTTGGGGCCCCGTGGGCTGGTGCCTCCCAAAAGGGCTGGAGAGGTGAGGGAGGAGATGAGCAGACAGAAGCTGTGTGCATATATGCACAGTCAACTGTCCAGGTCGCGGGCTGGGACCCCAGCCCTGTCGCGGACTCCCTGGGGCCGAGGGGAAGGAATCTGGGGCCCGCATGCCGCCAGCCCCACACAGGGCAGTGCAGCGATCAGCACCTCCCCAGCAACTGTGACGGCAGGGTCAGGAGGACCTGTCTGGGGACAGAGCGGAATGCAGACACACAGAGGCTCCTTGTGCAGAGGGAGAAAGGTGACTTCCTGGAATCCTGATAATGCCCAGCCCCGGGGTACCAGTGGCTGCCAGCTCTTTCCGGAAGCTCCTCCCGCTCGGCCGGCTTGCCCTCCCACGGCGCTGAGCCTCGGCACTGCCATCTGCTCCCCCGGGAGGCTCGGGAAGGGGAGGGGCTGGGCGGGGAGGCTTCCTTTGGAGCTGGGCAGCACCCACCTACCCAGCTTACCTGGAGAGGGTGGGGCTGGCGCCCGATGCCACCCAGGCCCCAGGATGGCCGCCCCACTCCGCACAAGTCCGCGTGGGACCCGGGCGCTGAACCCCGCCCCACACCTGGGCCAACTGTGTTTCCCGAAGCTTTCCACAGGGGCCCTCCCCGTCCCGGCCACGCCAAGGTACCCCTCTGCCGACCAACGGTGAAGGTGCTGGGGTTCCAGGAGCCCCTCCTGGGCAGCAGCGCCTTCCTGGAGGCCCCAAACCCGCCCCTCAGTCCTCCACACTCACTCTCGTCAGGGTTGGGGGAGGCCAGGATGGCACTGTGCTTCCGCTTCACCTCCTCCACGTTCTCCGAGATCTTGTCAATGAAGCCACGGATCTCCTCCACCTGCGCACCAGGGCCAGGAAGGCAGGGGGAGATCCAGGGAGGGGGCTCGTGGGCCCGGGGCTGGCCCAGACTGGGGCTGGCAGTCAGGTTCAGGGAGAGGCTGGACCAGGCTTCGGGAGGCGGGGCAGGGGGGGAGGGGGGCAGTGGGGGCAGGGACTCCAACTATCCTTCTAGAACGGGATGGGGAGGAGTGGGCGAGTCCAGTCCTAAACTCTGCTCCCCTCTGAGCTTCAGTCTATTCTCCCTCAGAATGGCTCTGTTATTTGGTGTAAGGGCCCTGGGCCTGACTCAGAGGACGGATGTGGGCCCCTCCCGCCCCGAGCTCTGCCTTGGAGGTCTGCCCAAGGAGGTGGGGTGTGCTGGCTCCCACCTGTTCAAAGAACTCATCCATGAAGCCATCTCGGTCCACGGTGACAGTGACATCGTCATCATCATCGCTGTCCTTGGCCTGCACAGGGGTGTGGACACATGAGCGGACCTGTGGTGGGCCCACTGGGGCCCGCTGGACCTGGGGCCACAAACTGCCCCGCATCTATACTCAGCAGCTCAGCTCCAGGGCCCTGACCACTGCCCTCCGTCATCTTGGCAGGGACGAGGTCCGGCTGTGCCCTCGGCTCCCGGCCACAGTGAGGACCTGGAGGACCCCGGGGGACCCAGCATAAGGAGAGAGGCCTGGCCTGTCGAGTTGGTGACCGGACCGGGTCTCCACCTCTAGACCAGGGATTCCTTCCTTTACCCAGCTGCCTGCCCCTTCCCCACAGGACTGGGGTCCTCCCAGTATGCCCCTCACCCTAGGGCACAGCTGGGAAGGCTGGGTCCCCTGGCCAGTGGCCCCAACTCACAGACCTGGCCTGAGACAGGCTGCCTGGAAGCCATTCTTCTCTCCTTTCTGGGCCTGAAGGTTTTAATTAAGATGGGGCCCAAAGTTCCCAAGTTCCCTTTCTTAGGGGCACCCGGGAAGGGGAGGCCCATGTGCCAACAACACCTGCCTCTAAAAAGGTAGGATGACTCAGAAAGAGGCCATCCCACAGCCCCTCAGGCAGGCCTGAGAGACACTGCCTGCATGGGGCTCTGTGAACGCTGTTCTCTCCTTGTCATTCTTTTTTTCCTTTTAATTAAAAAAAAAATTTTTTTTAATGTTTATTTATTTTTGAGAGAGAGGGAGAGTGCCAGCAGAGGAGGGACAGAGGGAAAGGGAGATAGAGGGTCCAAAGTGGGCTCCACACTGATAGCAGAGAGACTGGCACGGAGCTCGAACCCATGAACTGTGAGACCGTGACCTGAGCTGAAGTTAGATGCTTAACCGACTGAGCCACCCAGGCGCCCCTCTTCTTGTCATTCTTTTTTTTTTTTTTTTTTCAAAAAATTTTTTTTTTCAACGTTTTTTATTTTATTTTTGGGGGCAGAGAGAGACAGAGCATGAACGGGGGAGGGGCAGAGAGAGAGGGAGACACAGAATCGGAAACAGGCTCCAGGCTCCGAGCCATCAGCCCAGAGCCCGACGCGGGGCTCGAACTCACGGACCGCGAGATCGTGACCTGGCTGAAGTCGGACGCTTAACCGACTGCGCCACCCAGGCGCCCCTCTTCTTGTCATTCTTGACATCAGACCTCGATCCTCTTTCCCTCCAGGCTCAGAGGTGGGCCTGGCAAGACCAGTCATGTCACTTGGCTCAGGGGCTGCCCTAGGCCCCAGCTACAGGTGCAGCCGCACCCCACCACCCTGAGAGCAGCTGTATAAAAGCCCCCCACCCTGGGGGGCGGGGTAATTACACCTCTGACTTCCCAGTGCACTGGCCGTGCTCATTACTGTCCGCCTTAGGCACCTGCAGTCGCCAGGGGCAGCCCACTCTGTTGGCAAGGGCAAGTCCGCCTCCACAGCCAAAGCCAGGATACCCAGGGCAGGACCGGCCTCGCCCTGGACTGGGGATCTCAGGCTTGGTCACATCTCATATCTTAGCACCCCACAGGGCAGGCATGAGCCGGCTCAGCACTGGCGTTCACCTCAATCTCTCTTACATCAGGGTCAGAGCCAAGGATAGGGGCAGGTGGAGGTCGACGGTCGGTAAAGCTGAGGGACCCAGAGGGCTGGGCCCAGCTAGCCTGCTGGGGAGGGACCCAGGTTCTGCACCCAGCAGGGGCTGACTGAGGGACCTACCCTCTGGGTCTGTCTGCTCCTGTTTGCAGTGGGGACAGCGATGCCTGGCCGCAGGGACAGAGGGCAGAGAAAGGGTGGCAAAGCACAGCATGTTCTGTAAAGGGCTGTGCCCCTGGGGCTCTCGGGGTCCTACTGCCCCACCGGAGTGGGACCAACCAGGAGACGGGGTTGGTTGGGAGCTTCCTGGAGGCGGCTCTGACAGGCCCCTCTCATCAAGAGATCACACCTCCTCCCCCAGCAGCTAAAATAAATCCTCGCTCCCACAAGTGTCTGTGGCTGCTACCCGGTGGGCCCCCCCCCCCCCAACCGAGCCCACCTATCGACAAAGAAAATCTAGGAGCCATTTCTACACTTTTGGGCCTTGCCAGGCCCGGGAGCTAAGCTGGAAGAGCACTCCCTAGGGAAACTGAGGCAGAGTGCAGTCTGGAGGAGCCCAGGTCCCCCTTCAGGGCAGGCTGCCAGCTTGGGAGGTGGCCCTAGGAGTGCCTGCCATTCAGCACCCTGCCCTGTCTTTTTGGTGTCTAGAGAGGGACAAGGGTGGACAGGAAAGGACTGAGGAGAATTTTCCAGCTCCCCTCCCAGAAAGAGTAATGACTGGCGGGGGCCAAAGACAAGGGCATCAGAGTTTCCAAGGATGAGAGTCGCTGCCAGAGACCCCTGGGATCTGGGCTGATGGCTCTCCCCGGGCCTCAGCTTGCCCTCATCTGTAAAATGAGGATGTATCTTCTCCATGCATCCAGGAGCTTTGACCTGCTCCCTCCACAGCCTCCCCAGAAGACTGAAGCAGCCTGGCCTCAGGTAGTTTCTCCAGCACAGGGTTGGCAGGAAAGATGCCCGCGCTCTCCTCCAGGCCCTGTGTCAATGAGGGCAGAGCTGAGGAAGGGGATACCTGGGGCCAGGGCCTGGTGGGGGCCCCCAGGTTGGGGTCTGTCCTGAAGGTGGCGTGCAGATTAGCCCCAAAGCTGCTTGGAGGCTTTAGGGCCTGACTTCACAGCCTTGGTCACACCAGCGGTGGCTCCGAGCAAAACCCTGAGGGGATTCTCCATGGGGACCCCTTCCTTACCAAGTCTCAGCACTTCTTCCTCTCGGGACTTTTCGCCCACCACCCTTCATCACCTCACTGCTGCGGCCTAAAACTGGACCCAGCACGCCCCACATATAACCATTTCCCTGCTTCGATGACCCACCCAACTGTCTTCCCTTTCCCCATGCAATTCCCTCTGCCTGGAATGCCGATTCCATGAAGCTGGCATTCATTCCCCTCATCCTTGGATGCTGCCTCCTTCCAGAAGCCTTCCCCAGCTCCCCAGAGTCACTATCTTGTTCCTCTGCTTCCCCCTGCACTATTCCCTTCTCTACTGGAACCACAACCACAGACTCTCAGGCCCTGAGGGACCTGAAAAATCACCTTGGCCTCAGCTTCCAGACTCAGCTTGCACACCTCCTGTGATGGTGAGCTTACTACCTTTCCTGGGCAGCTCTGCCCATCTTGGGCTGCCCCAATTGTCCCTTTCCTGTACAGTTTGGCCCTAGGCCATAAAGAACCTGTTGGTAAAAAAAAAAAAAAAAAAAATGGGGCGCCTGGGTGGCGCAGTCGGTTAAGCGTCCGACTTCAGCCAGGTCACGATCTCGCGGTCCGTGAGTTCGAGCCCCGCGTCAGGCTCTGAGCCACCAGCCCAGAGCCCGACGCGGGGCTCGAACTC